GACTCTCTCCTCCTCTCTCTCTCTCTCTCTCTCTCCTAAGAAACCTGGGCGCAGTATTCCGTTTTTCATTCCGAATGGACGGATGGATGGATGGATGGAAGTCAATATGGCGAAACAGAGGGTAACCCTCTCCCTCTTCCGGTTAAACCGGAATCGAGTCGAAAGAAAGGGGAGGGAGGCGAGCGACGGTAGGGATATAACGAACTTCTGCAAGATGTTACCGAATTCGCCGGTTCCGTGGCCGCGGGGGATATATATATACAGATATACAGATATATACGATGATTAAATTTCCTAGTTGCATTGCCACGAAGGGTTATATCCATAGGAAATTTAACAAGGAAGGCTTTAAGGAACGGTCTCTCGTCGCCCTTCCCTATTTTCCTCCTCCTCCTCCTCCTCCCCCTCCCCCCCCTCCGTCCTTTCTAAATATCGTTTTTCCCTGTTGCGGTCTCGTTACCGTGTTCCAGGCAAATTCAGCCCCCGGGCCACGCCGGCTACACCGCACCAAGGCTCGCTCGCCGCGAATTATTCATGTAGCAACATTTCGCGTTGCCTCGAAGTCTCGTGATTTTGCAACCTTCTCTCCCCTCCCCTCCCCTGTTTGTTCCTACTACGACTTTCCTTTTAATGCCTCGCCCCTGTGACGTTATCTGATTCCTCGTGGGTGGTAAGGGAGGGCGGTGGAGGGAGGATGGGAAGCATGGATGTTTTCCGTTTATCGCTCTTGTCGGTGGAACCGCGAACAACCCGATTAACATTCGTTGCGGAACAAGCGAGTTCCGCGGGGATGAAATTACTGAGATTAAGACGGAGGTGGGGGTGGAAAAGGGGAGAATTAAACTTTTCCTTCGCCACCCTTCGCTTTCCCCTCTCGTTCTAATTTCTTGTAAAATCGAAATTTATGGGGGAGAATCTTGGGGAAGGAATCGTGGAGGCGTTGCGTCCAGTTGTGGAAAATTAAAAATGTACGTTGTTCTTTCCTTTTTTTTTTTTTCATTCGCGCGATTTATCCTTTTATCGTGGAAGATTATCGAGGGAGTGGACGAGGATAAAAGAAACGAAGACGGATGGGAAGTTTTTGTACGCCTGTGTGTCGTGTAAAATATTTGAGAATTGCTCTTGTTGGATGGATTATTTATGGATGGACTTGGTGATGATTATTTGTAGTCGAAGAAATGTTTACGCGTCGTGAAAAGTTGTACTCTCGTATCGAGGGGACGGGGTTGCAAACGATAGTTGGAAGGATTCTTGTTCTCGAAAAGTGGGATGAAATAATTTTTCGATATATTTCGATTACAGTGTCGCGACGTCATCTTTGTTATTATAATAGTCGTCTGCGCGATATTAGTTTTACATGTCGTTTAACTTAATAAACGTGGCGCATCATGCGGGGGCGAGAATGAACTCGCGAGAGGTCAATAATTGAATAAGCGGAAATTGCTTTAATGCAAAGGTGAAAATAAAATTTGTAAATTAAATTTCGCTACGGGATATAACGTCGAAACGGTTTTAATTTTAATTGTATGATAATACGGTTTTGTAAAATGGATTTCTCCAGCGGAGGAACGTTGTTAAAGCAAAAAAGTATGGAAATTGTTGTTGCAAATGGTGCAACGTAATCACGAAAAATAATACGGAATTTCAGCCCGATAAGAGAGTTTTAACGATGTCATTCACCGGAAATATCTGTCGATACGCAGAGATTGTTTTTTAATATTCATATAATCTTCGAATGTTCCAACATTAATTTACAGTTCTCTGAAATGTACGTATATTAAATTTAATTTTTCTTTTTTTTTTTTTTTCTTCTTTCTATTTCGTTGATTTTGTTATTTTACAATCAACGTCAATTACAATCGTCGTCGTGTCAAAAATATTACACCGAGCGAAATATAAAAACTACGGTATAAATTTTATAATGTTAATATTATTCAATCCAATCCACGTTTGAAATGTTTAAAAATAAAAATCGAAAACGTACACATACGAGATACAGGAGTCCGAGTAGAATGGTCTCGGTAAACCATCAATATTTTATTTTAAACGCGCGAATTTCCAAAAAGCTTCATTCGTTTTCCGGGGAAAAAGACGAAGGGAAGAAGACGAGACGAAACACGCGAAACGGCAGATGCAGGAAATCTGTTTGCTCGATAAATGGTTGAAAGCGTGAAATCCTTGTATCTCGAATCGAAGCGGATACCGCCTTATCTCGAAAGGCACAGATTTTTCCGACAGCTGTCGATCTTTTTTTCCGACAGTTCCTGACTTCTCTCCTCTCCTCTTCCCTTCCCTTCCCATCCCCTTTCCCCTCCTCCCCCGTCTTCCTTATTTCGCGCCTTCGAACCAATAACGCATTATCCACCACCACCACCGCCGCCGGAAATACTATTTACCGCCAGGATATAGAGTTTTTTGCCCGACCAATTTTCTTGTGTTGCGTCGCGTATTACAGGATTAACCAGTTGGACCGCTTGGAACATGTTAATGAGACCGATGGTTTTGATCTGGACTCTATATATGGATGAAATTCATTTTCATGATGGAATGATAAATTACCGATACGACTCGCCGTCTCATTTTTTTTATAGCGTATCTAATTATTCTGTTTCCTGGGGAGGGGGATAGGGGAGGAAATATTAATCGTATTTTCTTTTGTTTATGTCGATGTCTCAGGGACTGATATATATATATATATATCATATATATATTGGAATAATTACGTTTTTGGATACGTTTTATTTGTGACAAAAGATTTCTATTTTTCAAGATTTATATTTTCGTAGAAATACGCGTTATAAGCGCGTTATTGTTAAAAGCAAACAACAAGAAATACACGTATGAATCGTTTTGTAATCAATGTAAATGTTATTAAATACTAATACCGTATATATTAAAATATATTACCGTATATATAATACATATTTTGTGACGAATAAATATACATTTGGAATGTGAATAAATATTTGTAATCATGCATTATAAATGTTATCAAGTATAATCGTGTTTAACAAAATTCGCAAAACACTCGTTAATAAAGATTCGCAATTAATGAAAATATATACTTAGAGACACAGTTTGACAATAACGCATTAAACATTAAAATGTTCCAACGAAAAATCGATAGCTGTGGCTGGCATGCAATTATCCTTCTACAAAAGATAAATCGTAAAATATTATAACAGTCAAATGTGAAGCATGATGTAAATTTACGTGCTCCGTAAAGCGAAACAAAAATATTTCCTCGTGTCAGGCATTGTAGTAAAATTTCTGACATCAGAATAAAAATGAATCCGTATTCCGTGATTTATTCGGTGGAAACAAACGCATTAACGAATGAAGGAAAAAAAAAAAAAAGAAAAGGAAAAGAAAAGAAAAGAAAAAAAAGAAAGAAAGAAAACGATGAGAAAATGTTAACTTACCTGCGCTTCACAGTCATTATTATTCTCCAAGAAAATTATCTTTCTTAAAAGACGTCAATTTATTTCTCATTTATTTCTCTCGACTCTAAAAAAAAAAAGAAAAAAAAAACGACAAATCAAAAAATATATCGTAATTTATAAAACAACGTAAATATATCTCTAAAATATATTAGACAGAACTACGTCTAAAACGTAAACGAAAAATGGCGATCGATGAAAAGGCGATTCAAAATAATCCAAAAAATTGCATCTTTGTACATCGGTTTATTATCATAGCGGTACTTTGACACTGGTTATTTTAAGAAAGATAATGTCTAGCCTCTTCGTTATTTCTTATCTGCTTCTCTCTTTCACTCTTGTTATT